CTATACACATATGCAGTTGCGTATGAATTTAATTACATGTGCATGTGCAAATACATCTGCATAACTATGTGTGCCTAAGTGTGTGTGTATATATATATATATATATATATATTTATATTTATGTATATATATATATATATATATATATATATATATGTATATATATATATTAATATATTATATATATAATATATATAGGTGTGTGTATACATATGTATATATACCTATACATATACATATATATATATATATATATATATACGTACATATACATATATGTATATACATATATATATATATATATATATATATATATGCATATTTTTATATGCAACATATGCACCTTTGCGTATGTGCATGCGTGCGTATGTGTAGACATGTGCGCATGTCTGAATGCTGTATATGCATGCATGTATGCATGGTTGCATGTAGGTAGAGGTAGGTATGTATGCATATATGCATGTATGCATGCATGTCTACCCGACGTAAAATGTAGGTATGTAGATATGTATGCATGTTTGTACGTGCATACAAGTGTGCAAACATAAATGCGAACATGCGCACCTGTCTGCCTGCGTTTATGCAAGCATGCTGCTTACTTACAGGCATTATCAGGCATCGATGAAAACAACCTCCATTTTGGGGCTATGGTGACAAAGCTTAACAACCCCGTTTCCGCGATCTGGGGTGCTGCGGGCATGTTTGGTTCAGTCTACATGCTGTCAGCATGCAGGTTCAGGGCATGGTGGTGTCCACTGTGGCATGCAATGCTTCTCCGGAGGCAATCATCAGGCTGATTCAACCGTCGAGTATCGTCGAGGAAGAGGAATGGCAGCCTGACAATGACAGGACGAAGAGAACGGAAAAGCCGAACCACTGACCTTCGGACACTACATGACGAAACTGTCCAGGCTGCGAAGCTTAAGAATACAACGACAGGGCCGCAACTGGCAATGTAAGCTTCGACACAAGGACGGTTGTTCTGGCGGATGCTTCGCAGCTCTGCGCGAGAAATATGATGCCAACTCCGTCCCGCTTCCCTCTGGTTTCTCTACTGCCTAGTGAAGCTTGCTGTCCCCGTGAGCTAAATAGCTGCAAATCGCCCCTCTGCCGCGTGAAGGCCTCAGCCCAAGACCTGAAAGCTCAATACTATTTAATGACGGATTACGAAGGTGCCAAGCTCAACTTAGCAACGCCCCCTCAACACGTTTGAGTACAGAAGCGGATATAACAGAGGCATGTGTGCACCCATAGACACTCTTTAGTGGCATGGTAAGGCACACGCGAGGCGGCTCGATTCGGACACTATAATGCATGAACCTGCACATATGTGCAATGCTAGATGCGGAAACAACAATAAACGCATGAGGGATTGAGATCAAACCCTGAACCCCATTTGCCGAGGGTTCCGAGTCCCAAACCCTCAATTTCGAACCCCGAGCCCTCGATGACTGACGTCCCTAAATGCGTAAAGGCCCTGGGCTAATGATGGGGCCTGGACCTCACTATCATCGATGACACTTTCCTGCACCCCGCACGCCGCCCCAAACCTTAAAGCTGCTTTGCAACTGGCCTGCAAAAACCCCAAACCTGAAACCCTCAACCCCAGATCCAATAGAGTACCTTAAATAAATAGTAGGATCCGGACCCAAAAATAAGTTACCCTGTAATGTTCGGAAACTCGCAGATCATGAAACCCCGAAACTCTCCGTGGGCGCCCCGGGTTTCCAGAAGCCCTGAGTGCGCACCTCCCAGGGCTCCTCACAGGCTCTTCTACAGGATACAGGATCTAGGGTTTGGGTTCTGGATCAATTTCAAGCTCGGGGGTTAAGACGGTTAAGAGTTCGGGTACGAAGCAGTTGTTTAGGGCCATCCCGAATCCTGGAAGACTGCAGTTCCGCAAATCAAACAGACCACGCTAGACCTGGGCTCTGTCCTCCAGCAACGGCTCCTTGGCAATCATGTCGACCTGATGTGCTGCAGAGGCTGTCAGAACCCTGCCTCTCGAAAGGGCGATTGTCAGGGGCTGAGTGAAGCACACAGCAATTCCGGAGAGGGAAATTCTACCACCCAGTTTCTGCTACTAGGCTTCAGGAAAGGAGCCTGAAGGCAGGACAAATAGCAGCCCTCTCGCCAGTGCAGCATGACAAGACGTTGGACCTCGCAAGAGCCTACTCATCCAAGTTTCACCAATCGCACTTTTTGTCAAGCTTGCAGCCGAGGTTGAACCACAACCGGGTTACTAAATCCGTTGGCTATGTATCTACATTAATGTCGCCCAGAAGGATGGCTGACAAAGGCTCAAATGTCCTTGACGAAACGACCTCTACCAAAAACCCTGCAACACGAATCCATGAGGGAGGCCTAAAGACCAACCAGCCCCCCACCCAACACAGCAAACCCTTACTGCTTCATTGACGCGAATATCTGCAAATCTGTCGGCCTGCAAGCAGCCTGGTGAGGCAAGAACGCTGCGGCAATCCCAGTTCGGAAGCCCTGGACCGAACACATCCTGCATCCGCATCCTCTTCGCCCTCAAGCTCCAAATAGGCAAACATTAAAAAAATGTACCTGAGCCCGGCACAGCCTCGCCCGAAAGTCGGTAGCCCAAACGGCAGAGGGCGCTGAACAGGGCCGGCGTGAGGCCTTCAGTAGAGATAACCACTTGGACAACATGAGAGGCAAGTCTCTCGGGAAAACCGCGGGACAAAGCGCCAGACAAACCGAGAACAGGAAACTGGTATGATGTTACAAAGGGCCAAAAATAAACTGGGAGAGATCAGTTCAACACCAAGGATAAGTGATCCTGTGCCAAACTAACCCGAATTAATTGTATGCCCGCTGTTCATGACATCATCCAGAGCATGTCAGGTTCCCCTCGGAAAGGGCACCAGGACGGCCGTTCGAGGGCGCTTGGGTTGAGTCACCCCTGCAAGCCCCAATCCACCATGAAATCGCTTGAGGCCCCACAGTAAAAGCCGATGGCGCCCTACAGCCCACGACGATAAAACATGCAGCCATCAATGGCCATTGACCTGTGAAAGCTCCATGCCGTCCAAACTCCAACCCCACAAGCCTGTCGGATCCCGCTAGGGCCACTTAGCCACTGGAACTGTGGGGTTACGAACCGGTGCTAATTATTATCTGCAAGTGCTCCTTAGACACATTAAGAAGGGGTCTTCATGACTGGAATATGGTTATGGGGTATAGTCTCGTATAGCATATTACGGAAAAACAAGAACATTTACAGTAATAACAATAATAATAGTGATGGGCAGAAGCCCTATTGAACCACAGTGGCACTTCGCCTGGCCCGCTCATTGTACTCATGTTGGGACCTCTCGTTGACTCTGCTAGGTGCGTGGCATTGGTTGGCGTTCGAGACGTGCGGGAATTTCGGTCCCACGTTGCACATGTTGACCTCTGGGAGGCGAATCGGGACGCTGAATCTTCGAGCCTGCGCCGTACATACATACATACCTACACATGCGCACACACACACATACAAAATACATGCATGCATACTTGAACAGACGAATACATACTACACACATGTAGAACACATACACACACATGTCCATATATATATATATATATGTGTATATGTGTGTATGTGTGTATATGTGTATATAGATAAATAATTAAGTAAACTAATAAGTATATTTGTTTATATACATATATGCATATCACGCATAGATGTGTATACATGTAGGTATGTACGCAAGTATGTATCTACGTACGCAATGTCATTTTTAGATTCATTCCGGGAGCCTTCACCCCAACGGTCCTGGATGCGAATCTGAACACATCCACGATCGGAGCCTGAAGAATTAGAACCGGTTTGGGCGCACCTCTTACCACACTCAAAGTGAGGCATCGTAGGCCAGTAGTCATTATGGTAGGTAGGCTGCGCTGCAAGGCACATCTCCTGTAACAGCAACGCAGGCAAGGATCGGACGAGAAGGAGCCTTGTATACCAAAGGCACCCAAGCTCTGAGGGGCCGGCATGGCAGCAGTCGCCTTGCTGCGGCTGACTTGTGCGAGTGGCTACTTGATGCACTTCCGGTGGGAATCTAGCGGGCAGCCCTCACATCCCATGTCCAATCCAAGAGTTGTTCTACAGTGTCTGTGCGACATCGCACGACTGTAGCCCTGTTACCACGGTTCCACTGCCTAATTACAACATACAACTTTCCAATTCTAAGGCCCACGAATCCAGGACAGGGGACGTGCTGAGTTCCAATGCTCCGATTCGAAACAATTTAAAGGCCGGACTCTAGCGCCTCTAGGGAATATCGGGCATTCAGACAGCGCTAACAAGGCTTGATGTAGAGTCTTTTTTTCTTGAACCCTCGTGTCGTTTAGCCACTGCCTTCCAGACTACCACGGGCGGTCGAGGGAGTGACTCCCCTGCACTCTGCCCTGTTGCAAAGGGATACGTACCACCCGTACACAAACCCATGTACCCGGGGCCCAGGCAAGAGTCTAAGTCTAGGGGTCGGGATGCGAAGGTTCGACAGATTCTGCGGCCTGCACTGCCAGAATCTGCCAGACTGATACATGTTTCGAACTCCTTGCTCAAGCCCAACTCACTGTGTCTGAGTGCGAAGACCAGCTACGAAAATCAGATTCTTCTGGTTGGATGGGATAAGTTTTCATGACAGGGCACCTTAGGCTAATTGTCCTGCGATTCCTTGCATCGTCGGTGTTAATTGCGTTCGGCACTCAACCTGTTGCTCCCTAGACTGTCTCCTGAAACCAGGAGCTTGGTAGGCCTGGGAGTGAGACTCAATGGCACGTATAACCGTACAACCCTACAGCCTAAACCCTCAACTGTCATGCAAGTGCAGCTCGAAGGGCAGCAGCAGGCAGCCAGGTCAGACTGCAGCAATCCGGTGTCCTGGGCTTCAGTTGCTTCTGCAGTTCCGGGCACTCGATTGGACGAAAATCAAAGCCCAAGGCGAATGTTTGAACGCGAAAAACCTGTAATCTCAGGGGTGTCAGCGATGGATGCTCCACGCCGAAGGTCTTTCTGTCTGCACTTGCCCCCTCTGTCCCTTTGGGCCCTTTAGGCATGCCCTTGTAGCCGAGGCCTGCAATCCGAACTCTTCCGCGTCTGTAGCTGACAGCCCGCCCCCCCCAACCAAGATTGAAAAATACTTCCCAGCCTTCCAGCGGGGAGACAAGGGCCGTCCCGAATTCCGGCGAACGAAGATCTCCTATCCAGGATCCGTATCTGAGGCTGAGATGCACATGCGGAAGACTGCATTAGAGGCTAGATGAACTGGTGCGGACAGAAGTATGTTCGAGATAGCTTTCCCTGAATGCTGAAAACAATACAGAACCGCTGATCCGGTCGGCTGCCACAAAGCCCTACGTATCTTGTGCCCGTTGTGCCTGCACGTGTTATCACGTGTTCATATATCGTTCTTAGACCTAGCAGGACCTAGCACATGATGGGAGCCACGCATTCCAAGCGGAAGATTGATGCATGGGTACGGCTGCAATCATCGAACTGGAGGCTGTCGATAAATCCATTGTGGCCTCCTCTGTCAACAGCTTCTCGGGCTGAAGGTCTTCGAGGGAAGGCGGCAAACGGTTCTTCACCACCACGAGGCCTTGGTTCGGTTTCGGATTGAGGCCTTGACCTCCCAGCCTACATGCAGCATGTAGAGATTGGTCAGTGGCTCTGTGCGTACCTGTTCTGCTTCCGGAGCTTCAAAGGGGCTAGGGGCAGGGCGGCCCGTCAGCTTCGCACCGTAGTCGACGCCCCGTGTGTGGGGAGGATAGCCTTGGGTTGGGCTGCCGATGTCGAAAAACAACCCGAGAAGCTTCGACTTTTTGAAGTGGAGGCTTCCTTTGGGGAGCCCGCTAATTCAAGTCAGATGCGGAAGGTTGCTGAGAATGAGAATGGGGGCTCAGAGTTTCGCGGCTCTGCGACCCATGGGTTGATGCCGAAGACTCCACGATTCCGCAAGTCGAAAGGGTTCCGCCCAAGCTTCTACATTGTTGGAACCTAGAGCCCAGAAACACGAAAGGCACATTCACTAGGAGAGAGAAAAAAGACCCAGATCTCGCAAATCTCCGGATCGCCCTTTTTGTCTTGGCATTCTTGCAACATCGTGTGCTTCAACCTGAGTAGAGCCAGGCACCAAAGGTCTGTCCCCCGACTCGCACACCGACTTCCAGGTGACTCCTCACATCTCCGCAGCACTTTGGCAGGATTTGGTTTGGGTTCTTCATGAGATCATTGTGCAGCTATAACATAAATTCACAGAGGCTGAAGGCTTCGGCACTGCAATTCGATGCGTGCTGGCAACGAGCGGTGTACACAGAAGGACTTCCGATGTGACAAGGGATGAGGGATGTAGGGCTTCGGGCGAAGGAGTCCATGCTGTCTGACAATCACAGCTCATTGCTTTAAAACTTCACGCATCCGGTAGTACAGGCCTTCAGCCAAACATTTCGAATTATTCATGCACACCCTCTCAAGCTATCTCGTGAGTTGCAAGCATGACTAACACCCCTAGAATTAATCCAGCTACTGTGCTCCAGTTCTGACGCTGAGCCAGTGCTTCTGGCAGCAGCTCAAAGCATGCCACTGAGCTCATAATGCCGCCCACAGCACACAGCAGGATATCCATGCCAGAGCCAGCCAGTGCGCCCGGTGGTAGAATCGAAACCGCAACGAAAGCTCCTAGAGGCTCAGCCAAGCCGGATAGCGTAGCCAGCAGCATTGCCAATGACAGGCTGTTTGTCGCTTCCAGCACAGGCAAAGCAATGGCAATGCCTTCTGGGATGTTGTGGACAGCGATTGCCACCATGACAACAACACCCAGGTGGGTGCTGTGCAGCGATGAGACACCAACAGCTAGCCCCTCCGGGAAGTTGTGAGCTGTCAATGCTAGCATCAAGAGGACAGCAAGTCTCCATTGCCTTGCTTTGGGTGTAACCGCGGCCTCACTGAGATGAACTTTCTCCGGGTCTCCCGTGTCTCGGTCTTTCTTCACAAATCCTAGGTCAGGCTCCGGCACAAAATTCCTGATCAGGAGGAAGCTGAGAAATCCTAGACTGCCGGACACACACGCCTGGATGCGGTTGCCAGCTTGGAGGAATGGTGGCAGGAACATTTCGACAAAGGACACCGTGAGCATGACGCCAGCAGCAAGGGCCAAAGCGAAGGCCGTCTGGCTGGCAGTGGGCGAACTTCGCAGCAGCAGGACGATTGCAGCTCCTACAGAGGTAGACAAGCCAGCAACCAATGATCTCACTATAGCAGTCGCTTTGTGTGTTTGAAGCAGGATAGCTTGTGGAGCCATCTCGGGAAACGTCGAGACTGCGGACAATTCGGGGATCATTGACACCGAGGCTCGGCCATCAGCACGATGTCTGGCTACTTAACGGATTTGCGAATGTGTCGAGCATAGACATTAATTGTGCATCATAAACGAGAGGTCGTTCTGCTTCAAACATTACAATTGCACATCTGAATCTTCACTTTCGATTCAAGTGTGGGCAAGCACCTGTTGGGACAACTGGACTGTATGTGACGGCTTGAGATTGCGCACAGTGACACAGTTCGCGTTCAGATCGGGAAGTGTGACGAAGGCCAAGCAAGTGCCTCAGACTCCTCGGAGCTGCCCTCAGAAAGCGTCACGAGCTACTTCTTGAAATTGCCCTTCCCTCCCTGGACTATAGTCTGGCCTTGAACGTCAACCGCTCGTAAGCTGACAGAGGCACTCTCCACAATGTCTTGGGAAATACGAGATTTAGTTCGCAGCCAGAAACGAGTTGTCTTGAACACAGGGCAACTTCAATCGTCCAGGACGTCTGCAACATACTGCACTGACTCGCGTATGCGCCAAGCCTCACCAACACACACTTGCCGCAACTGTTCTCCCTCAAACTTTGCCCAGGTCCGACAAACCAACAAGTGCGACTTAGGCACGAATGCCCAGAACCTGAGCGTCAACACGAAATGAAGGTTCATTCGTGTGGGTTCGAGCTTCCGGGCCGGCCAGTCAGCTCGAATCACAAGCTGGAGTGAAATCAAGTTGCATGACACACTCCAGATTCCTCTTTGGGCTTCACGAAGCCATGACCCTTCAAGCCAGCCCTACAGCAGATCGTTGGAGCAACCAAGACATCCTTTGCCCTTGAACTAGCTCAATGTTGTTTGAAAACGAGTTTCAGGTGTGTACATCTTCCCATTTCAAAGCGCAGCATCCAAGCCTTACACAACACATCCTCGATAACTCCACGTTCGCCAACGGCAAGCTCCCAAGTTCACCTCCTCGAATCCCAAGTCGTGCATTCAGAAGCTAGCCCCAAACATCCCAAAACCGAACTCTGTTAGCAAGCTGCAGGTCATCATTCAAAACCTGAAGCGCGAAACCTTCTCGATGCCCAAGGATTTAAGACCCCGCAGCCAGGCTGATGTCTTTGCACCAATGTCTGTAAAGCAGGAGCCTCATAATCATTAGAGTAAGGTTTTGGGGCCCATTTTATACCATAATCAGGAACCCAAAATAGTATAAGGTAATTATTGAGGCCCCTGTATTAGCAAGCCTCATGCTCCATTCCACGAACCTTCGCCAACTTTAGTTACAGTTGGACCCCCTTCAAAATTTCGAGGCGACAACCAGGCTTGTCACTGCACTGCATGTGCTAAGGGCAGAATCGCCTGAGTGTCACAAGCCTTAAAGCACCTCTAGCCTCTAGTACGCTGTGGGGTCTCTTCGAGTTCCAACAACCCGTCAGGAATACAACAGTGAACTGCACCAGCTCGAAAGGGAGACATTGACCAAGGCTCGCACGAAATGCTTTTGCTCCAGGTTGAGCTTGAAATCTTCCAGGACCTTCTGCGCGTGAACCCAACATGCAAGGCTCGGGTCTTTCCGGAATCCTGGCCGTGTCCACCCGAAACGCTACGAAAGCGACCGAGCAGGTCATGAGGGATGCCTTTTTGATAGAGGTCATTGTAGTAAAGAATGTTTGCTGTCCACCACAGCTTGCTCAAGCTCCCACAGTTGCATGTGGAATTCTTGGTCGGCTTAGCTCCGAGCTTGGGAATTACGTGCTTTTGACTGCCCCCCCAAGCCCAGAAGCCAACCACGGAGAAAAACCTGCAAGCCGCTCTGGAGCTCCATCTCCATAAAACAGCTAGAGCCCTTGCAGGCTTCTCCGGAAAGCTCATCAACTGTGGCTCCAGTATTCGCACATTCCCGTCGGAGAAATCTGAAACCTTCAGTGTGCCCAGGCTGATCAAGTAGTTCCCGGCAGGTTTTTGAGTCCGCTCTTCGAGCGCCTACGCTTCGTAGTTTTGCTGCAGGGAGGCCATACTCAGGTCTGGACAAAAGTGGGATCACGTCGCGGGTCGAGAGGATCATAGAAGGACCTGGATCTTTTCCAAAATGGCCTTACAAGGGCCTCTATAGGGGACGTCTTTACGACAGCGAACCTCAGTCCGACAAACCGAGGACTCTTAATTACCAAAATCATGCTGTTTTAACGGCTTCTGCAACTCAGTTGAATTGGAAAGCTCTGCTCGATTTCTCTATCCTCCCCACTCTAGGAATTCTGACCATTTTCTGTTTGTGAGACTGCATACGGTTAGCATCTGGTAGGTCATCGACAAAGTCTAGGTGTTTGGGACCGAACAGGATCCCAGGTTCAAGGCTCCAAGTCTGCAATGCCCACTGCAAGAGTGACTGGCCTAAGACGAATAAGACCTGCACTGGAAAGATTCCCGGCAGGCTGGGCATGTTGAGGATGGGTGCCGGGTGACGGTATATACGAGTCGTTAGGGAAGGAAACCTGTTGCGCAATCTGCTCAAAACTCCGAACATCTCCGAACCCATGTTTTTGGGCTCGGGCCGCTAGGGGTAGACGCCAGTGTTTAGACGCGAAGGTTCCGTCACTGGGCTGCGGGCGCATAACCGTGCGCTACAGCCAACTGCATGGTCTCCCTGCCAGCAGGTATTGTAGGGTGTAGGGATTGGGGGATGCGGAAAATGAAATGAAATGTGATTAGCTATTTTAGGCTGAGCTAGGAAAGGTCGTTTCCTGCACACCCAGATAATCAACCAAAGCGGCTCGATTAGTTTTGCAAGTTGATTCAGCTTTTGGCTGGAGCACCTAGACACACACGCACACATTTTTTCGCGTGCCTTATACCCACAACGTTTTGGGATGTAAACCCTAGAGGCCCTATAAACTTGTTCGACCCCTACATTATTTCACCTTCTGCTTCAAAGGAGAATCTTCTGCTCAAAAGGCGCCAACGCTTTCACAGTTAGTTACATGTGCCTTAACACGGATAGCTCATCGTCAGGATCCGACGCGGCCAAGGCCAACAGGATCTGTGCCTCAAAGTCGGCCGAGAGAAGCTTTTGCAGCAAGGCTTGCCGAATGTAGTGCTGCATGAAATCGTCGAATTTAACAGCCACAGCCTCGTTGTTAGCATACGGGTAACTCATTTGGACCTTCGCAGAATCCCCCCCCCCCCAAAGAAAAACAGTAACTTCATCGCTGGACCCTTCGCCGAGAGCTGCGCATCACCTCGTAGCTCTTATAAGTCTGACAGCATGAGGGTGATCATCACCAGCATCACCATCGGCATCCTATCTTGTTCTGCATCTCCTTCTACCGCCGCTGCTTCGCTGACACGGTCAAAGCTCATAGGATACTGCTCCTAAGGCCAGGACGGGTTGTGTTTTGACACTCACACTCGGACAAGCCTGGCAAAGTCTTTTTGTTTCAATGCTTAAGACTGGGCATTTTAAACGTGGGCCACTAGGGCCAAGGGCTGTGACATGCCGCAGCACGATTTTGGTAGAAAGACTCCTTCGGATTCCATGTGCAGGTCCCAAACAAGTTTAAGTGTCTACCTTGGGCATTAGAGAAAACCTGGCTCGGTGCTCAATGCCCAAAGGGCGAGTCGTGAAATTAGGGAAAGTATCGCTGCGCTGAATAGTTGCAGGCATTTGACCTCGAAAAAGGACCATCGTGCTGGGACCGATTTCTGGGCTTCTGACAGTCCGACGCCGTAGAAGCTGCAGGACACCGGTGCAATCCTGCGAGACATCCGAATTCCGACTTCGGTCTACTGTGGGCTTGGCAAGTGCACAAACTTGAAAAACCCTTCATTCGCCATCGGCTTCGTCCCGAACTCCTGGACGCCCCCGTCCGTAACGTAGACAAGGCTAGGGGCCTGACGTCAGATGTTTCGATCTGCGAACATCTGCGGTTTGGAGTTGGAGTGCCTGAGGCCCCTCTGGTGGGAGGTCGGGGAAGTGGCCTAGCTGGGCTTCTGGTTTCTTCAGCCCCTTGTGGTCCGACTGGGCTCAGGGACAGGTGCCATCAGCATTCCCTCCAAAGCCAGTTGTCCAGCTGTCTTGGTGGGAGTCGTGTTTGCAAGTAAGTGTTCGCAGCTGTTAGCAGAGTGCTCAACGGTCGAAAGCGCAGGAGATGCGAAGCCAAACTGCATACGTGTTTGATACCTGGTACGATGAGTACGGATGCAGAAAAAGAAACGGCAGTAGCCCAGCCCTGTAGTCCATGAGCTGCATCTGCCTTCTCGGCCGTGTGGTAATACCGCAGTGCCTCAGCTGTGGCTTCCTTTGCCAGAAGCGTTTGTCTATGCTAAGGTTCACACTTCAGGCTGTGCGCCAAGTACAAGGCCTCATTTCTGGGCAACCCGACTGCAAAAACCTGAGGTACCTGGGCCATGCAGCAACAGCCGCAGAGCCAGCCATCATTGAATGTCCCAAGGCCGACAGACAGGCAACACGATCCGCACAAATGCTGAAACCCAGAACAAAGCAAAACTGCCTAAAACCATAGACATCGTGGTCATAGTAAACCCCCTCCGTGAGGTCCGTCAGACTAGCCTCATGTCAACCCAAGTGCCATGTGAAGATGGCGGATGGCCGGAGAGTGCAGGAACATCTCCTCCAACGGTTTTTTAGGGTTCAACGTAGGGACAGATCTTTCTGTGTGATCCTCGGAGTCTGTGCAACGATAAAGAGAGGGATGACAGCACTAGTCTCAGTTGAGAGTTCAGTTGAGAGTTATGGCAATATTCGGGCCGTGAGTCTTGGGACCTGTTTGATTTCTTGGCTGATCCACTCTCTGCCTGATGTTGCAGGGCCAACGGGGTCAAAGCAAGACCACAATCCCATTTGCATATCATGTCTACACTGAGAACAACAAAATGTTCAGGGCTGCTTGCAGTAATACAGCGATGGTAGGTTCAATCCAAGTGTGGACCTAGGGCTTGAACCTGGGATTGAAATCTTCGTCACAGAATTGCAAGTTGGAAGGTGATGAAATGAAAGCTTGCGCTCCAAGAACATACCTGGATAGTTTTGATGAGCATCTTCTAAGAATTCTCAGTGTGCTTCCGGAGCATGTTCGGAGTCGGTTTTGTTTTTGAGTTGGAGCGACTTGGAGCGTGCTGGGAGCATTTGCCAACTGAACGCATTCGGTTGGCTTAGCCA